GAAACAGCAAGAAAGACAAAACAAAACAGAAAGATTCACCCATCTCTATTTGCCCAAATTTGCACCTCCCAAAAAGACAAATTTTGTCCAGAAAGCACATACAGTACGTTGTTAATTCAGTTGACAGGCCTTACGTATAGAAATCTCTTTAGTTTTGATGATCTACTTGAATGAATACTCCACATGTCCAAAATATAATGGAAGAGCAAGCATTAAAGATGGGGACAGCCCCATGACACAATCTCTTTCCTTCAGGACATACAAGTGGAAGGTGCTTTCAGTGAGGCTATCTGATATGCAAATTCATTCAAAGTGACTGTTCATTTAAAGGCCAGACATTGGATTGGTTCAAAAAACATTTAATTGCTTTACAGCCCCAAGATGTTTTTGTGTTTGTTTGATAGCCCTCTCTCCTTCCAACAATTATCAGTCTATCTAACCAGCCCTTTTAAGCCAAGGGCACATGGCCATCTCAAGCTGTGTCTTCCCCTTTTAGCTGTGCTGAGGTGGGCTTAGAAGGTCCCAGGTGAGTTCTCTCCACACTATTTATTTTATTTTGGTTTTACAGGTTGGGAGCTGGTTACCTAAAGGAATGCCTGCTTCCATATTTGTCCTCCCACCCCCTGAGATCGGCGGCAGAGGCCCTTCTCCAGGAACCCTCTGTGAAAGATATTAGGAGGGTGAGTGCCCAGAGGAGGGCTTTCTCTGTGGTGGTGCCCCACTTATGGAATGCGCTCCCCAGAGAGGTCCGTCTGGCACTGTCGTTATTTGTTTGTTGGTGTCAGGCCAAGACTTTTTATTTAAACAATATTTTAATAATTGTTAATATAATTGTTTTTTGGCCAGGGCGACTTATTTTGTACAGTTATGTGTCTTTTATATTGCTATTTATGTATTTTAATTAATTTATTTATAAGCCGCCCCGAGGCTTCAGCGAATGGGGCGGCCTAGAAATTCTCTAAATAAAATAAAAATAAAAATAAAAAATTATTTATTGGTTCTTAAATTTTTAGCCAGGGTGAATCCAGATTTTATATGTATCTATTTTTATGATTGTTTATTTATTATGTTGGAAGCCATCCCGAGGCTTATGCGAATGGAACGGCATACAAAAAATCCAAATAAATAAATGCATACATACACACTGCCCATTCTCATGGGCTAGACATGCCAAGCTGAGCCTAGATCGCTTAACCCCAGAACATTACAAACTTTTCAGAGCCATGCGCAAGGTTGGTCATGCCTTCCCTGCTTAGCCCATTGTGGCAACTGGCACTAATGGAACAGATGCACAGAAGGAGCACAGGCTGACTAAAAGTGGAAGCTAGGTAAGAGTCAGTTGTATAGCTCAGGAGTGGGCAGCAGGTGCCTCTCCAAATAGTCTGGAGTCTTGCCCACTGGCCTCATTGCCAGGGGTTTATGGGAGCTGAAATCTAAAACCTCTGGATATCTGCCCCATCCCTGGTATAGAGGCCTCCAAATTGTTTCCCACGTCATTTGCACAAGACCCATCTGCATACGGGTCCCTGCATGGATGCAACTACATTTTACTAATTACATTTAGGCATGTATGAGGAATCTGTTTAGAGTGCGAAATCTGATGGCATTTCCCACCTCAACCTTCCAGCTTTTGTTCTGATTTCTTCATGGTGGTGCCAATTCATTCTAACATAAGTTCTAACATTCTAACATCTAGCACATGGATTTTCACTTTTAAAACTGGCTGCAATTTGCACAGGTTTTGTTTTGAGCTAGGAAACTTGTAGAATTTTCCTGCAACACCTGATATTTGGGCAAATGTTGGGTGTCACAATTTGCACAAATTTCCTGAGTTTCAAACCACAATGAACCCTAGATGAAAGTGACAGTGACAAGTTCTTTGTGCAGTAGGGAATATAACAAGCTAAGGATAAATTAATGGAAAGATAAAATGGACAAGGATAGTTATAAAGGGAATCTGCAATGCCCAGGGTTATAGAATGAACTTACAAATGAGATTGCATCATACAAACAATGCAAATTTGTTTAAGCTTGATTTCATGATTGAGATTCCATTAGTGCGGAAGACCCGGTATGTGTACAAATCACCATTTGCACAAATGGCAGTACAAATACACATACTGTGGTTTTCAGAGTGCACAACTATTATGCATGCGTTTTCAGCACCTGGGGGAGGGAGGGGGAAATCAGTCCCATTTCTGATAGCCAGATTGGAAACTCTGTGGAAGTCTGTCAAGCTCAAAGGAAATGGATTCCCCAGGGTCACACATGCTTAATTACATTTTTCATCTGAGTTATGTGTGTTCATGATTCACAACATTTTCCCTCAGCTAAATGTAACAAGAACTCAGCTGAAGGGTTCCTATAAACCAGCCATCCTACTGTGCAATGGAGACTTGAAGGGCACTGATATTTCAAAATAATATTCTTCAACCAGCTTTGGCTCCCATTAGTTCAAGTGGGAGAAGCATTTTTCCTGAAAGAAGCTGGATATATTTTATTTTGTTATATATAAGGCTCTGCCTTTCCACCATGGTGTTTCAAAGTGGCTAACAAAGACAGTTAGAGACAATCCATCAATACCAATACAATACAATAAACTACTTGGTTTAAAAAGCAGCAAGCAAAGGAATGTTTCACATAGCATAATTAGCATAACGGATATGCATTGTGACATTTTCACAATATGTTTACCTGCAGTTACAATATGTGCCTTTGCCTGCCCTGAGCCTAAGAGGAATTACACCCTGCCTCCTCCACACTATTATGTACATTAACATAAATTTTGTCCGCAATTGTTCCATAAGATATTGTGCCACCAAAAAATTGAACAGGTACCTATACAGTCTGACAATGGAACCAGGACTTCCCATCATTCCTTTTATGTATATATGTGCCGATTCCCAATTAGGAGTAATCTTAATTGGGGTGATAAAAATAGTTAAGTTGTTAGCTCAGCTGCAATGGAAAGAGCAGGGTCTTTCTGAGTTATTAGTTCAATAAAATTGCTTGATGATACCATTACTTTTAACTCCTGAGCACATTAGCAAAAAGTAAAAAAATCTCCAGACAGTATTTAAAGTAACACAGAAGTTCAGTGTATTTAAAAACCACAGTCTAACCAGAAAACTGCAGAAAGAAAGCTGTGTTTGGATAAGAATGCAGTGGCAGCAGGCAAGCAGCATGGTGTAGGGGAGCTTGAAGAAGGAAGAAGAAGTGCTGGAATGCTCATGCACCCACTCCTGTCATTAGCGCTATTAACATGAAGCCCCTCAAAGGAATACTTACTAGCTGGCCATGCTGCGTCTTATGCTGATGCATCTGCTAGCCACTCGATAGTGGCATGCTGTGCTTTATATATTTGATTTTTAGCCTGCCCCATTAGCCGCTGGTTCCCTGGTTGGGTTACAAATTAGAGATGCTAAATGAATGTACCATTGCATGATGCAGGTTTCCGTCACGTTGGCTGGAACTCTGATTGGCCATTCTGATTGACTAGGACTCCTAACTGGGTGGAGTAACTGTATGTGCCTGGCTCCACTGTTCTGCTAACACTGAGCACACAACCACTGTGGTGAGTTCCTCTTACCCTTTACATGTTCAAGGAATGGGAACAGTCCTACTGAGACAGCCATGTGGATTGTGAAACAGAAAGAAACATCAGCAATGCAGCTGCACCACCAAGCTGGTGACACAGGGTGATTCAAATAACTGAGTCAAGCTGCAAAGGGAAATCGGAGAGGCTACAGCCCGTTTTCTTGCTGTGTGTCCAGCTTTAACAGAAGCTAGATACCAAACACAAAAGCAGTCCCAAGGAGTATTAAGCAAAGGATACAGAAATTCCTTCCTCACACCATTTGCCACTACTCCTCAGCGACAAGAACCCACCCTTCTTTATACTCCCGTATATTATTTACACTTCCGTTAAATCAGGCAAGTTCTATTTGACAGCTAACTTTAATATGGCCACCATTCTGGAATTGGCACCGTACGACTTTTGCTTGCTTGCTTGCTTGCTTACTTGTTTTTGGGCAAGATTTCTGTTGGCTTTTTAGCAGCAATGACAGCACAAAAGGGTGATCTCTTACACACTACTGCCACAGAGGAAATACGCGGCTCATACAGACGAGACTGAGTGGCACACAATGTCTACTCATATGCATCAATGAAACAAAAGAAACAGTGACGGGGAAGACTGTGCCCAGCAGATCTGTGCATCGTCTGTCTGGCTGTTGACTCTGGATGGGCAGTTCCAAGGACCCTGCTATTCCTGCTTTGTTTAGGTACAGGGGGAATGCAGATACAAAATATTTAAACTGAACCTGCGTTGCACAGCCCTTTCATTAGAGGATACAGTCAAATGGAGATTGCCCACTATAGAGCACACGTCCACCCTATGTCAAACCACGTATGATGGCTGTGGCCTTGACAACGACAGAAGCATCAGAAGCACATTGCTGGCTCTAGGAACATGGGGGCTGTTTCATACCAGGTATCTACAGCTGCAGCTCTCTGCAGTCCCAGGCAAAGAGTTGCCTTGCTATTACGTTCTTTTAACCAGGGTTTGAGCCTAGGGCTTCCTAAAAACAATTCAAACAGATTGGCATTAGGTTGCGCCCCATGTTGGTCTCGAGTCCCATCCATTTCAGTGACTCTGCTCCAAGAATGGATTCAATCCAAAGAACAGGAAGAATGATCATTACTATATTAACCCTTTTAGCATTGGCAGCTTTCGCTGACCTGGTGCCTTCCAGATGTTTTGGACTAGACAGCTGGGAAAGACTGAGCTATGGTGTCATACAATAACAACAACAACAACAACAACAACAACAACAACAACAACAACTTATGCATCATATTTCCTCAACCTGTGAAATGAACTGGTGGGATTAGCCCAGTAAATGAAATTGATTAATGTAAGTTAAGCATAATATGTAAAGCTAAGAGGATTGGTCTAAACAACAGCATCGTTAGATGGTTCTGGTTATGAAAAATCATACCTAGAGAGTACTTTATTGTAATGGATTGTTCTTCAGCTGGCAAGAGGTAGCGATTGCACTCACTCTGCACTCTGCTGTGCTCCGGATGTTGTTCAACGTGCTTAATGATGGCTTAGATGAAAAAGTGGAGAGTAGTTCATCAAGCTGGAAGTGCTGACGGTGTTGGTGTGGACTGGAGAGACTTCAGTAGGCAGGATTAGAATTCAAGCCAATCTTCATCAATGGGAGAACTGATCTGGAAAACATCAAGTTAGCATGTAAATATATATTTTAAAAAATCCCTATAAAATATAATGGAAAAGAGGAAAATGCAGTCATGAGGCAATGAGAGTTAGCCATCTGAAGTTGTTATATTTAATTTCTCTAAAGTATTATAGGATTGTACTTTGTCAAGCGAAACCTCCTTATTATATAGAATGCAAATACATTTTTACATATGGGTGCTCCATCACAGTGTCGCAGGTTTACCCAACTCTTGTAAGTAATGCCTTAGCTCTCGGCTTCAGCTTGAACAGCAGGCTCCTAATCTGATGCAGGGCAGGGTGATTTTCAGCACTGAGGTGGGGATGTTGCAGGCGGACAATTTCCCTTCTTCCTCTGCTAGGCAGTTTTCTGGACATTTTATAGCCGTATAATTGGGAACTCTGGATGGTGGGAAAGGGGAAATATGTCTTTTCTCCTTTACTTCCCATACAAACATCCCTTAATAGTGTGGAGTGGGGAATAAAATCTGTTAGGTGCTTGAGCAGCCCATTTTCCTTCCCTCCCTCCCTCCTAAGCAATATCTTTAGGGAAAATCCATTTCTCTAGTAACCTTAATCATATGGAGAAGAATCATACACTCCAGCTAACTTCTATATCCTCTCTCTCCTTTCTCTAAGGCGGGGGGGGGGCATTGCCCTCAGAGGTACCTCCCAGGCACTTCTCAGTCTGTTTCGTTTCATTAAACAAACACACAGAGACACAAACTTTTCTCTTCATTCACAAACATCTATCTCTCTGTGTACCTAGGCACTCCATCCCCACCTACTAAGTATGTAGAAATTATTCCGTTATGTTTTGGTGGTACAATTTTACTATCCAATCACTTGAATTCACCATAGAAGGAATTAGAAAATTCGTTGTTTTTTCCCCCTGCATCTGATTTTAGATAGTAAACCCCCGGTAAACTTGTCCTTTATGAATTACTGTGCAGACTGAGCACAACAACAGCAACAATACATTGTATAAGATACGTAGTGCTTGCCTAGAAGGTAGGAAAATTTCCTAATTGCCGTAGCTACCTGGCATGGGTGGACAGGTAGCTGGCATGTCACCCAGGCTTGTTTCTAACAATTTTAGCTGTCTGGCATTGTGCTCTCACTGTGCAGGGAGGGGAAGAGATTACCTCCCCCTCCAATATGCCTGTAATACATAAATAAAATTGAAAAGGAGCCACAGCTATATTTTTTAGCTGTATATTTTTTCTGACCTGCCCAGGCAGCCCTAGGCTATAGGGTTGGGGGTGGGTGGCAAATAAACAAACAAATAAATAAATGCCATGTATTGAGCCTAAGGTGTCGCTTGGCTATTAGTGAACAATTCGGCACAATACTGCCAGCCTGCATTGTTCGGTATCCCTGCAAGTCAACGGGCTAGGGTCCCGTTTGGTTTTGTGTTTGAGAAAGGACCAAACATGGAAAATTAAAGGAAAGGATCTGGGAAGGGCGGGCCCTACTATGGGCAGAGGTGAGGGGCCATGGACTGGTCAGATCCACACATGTCTTGCAACCTGCCTGGTGCTCCCAACCCAGCCTGCTCCCCTCAAGTGTTTTTGTCAATATTGCTGCAAGAGTCAACAGCCGGTCTGTTCAGCTTTTGCACATTGACTGCAGGAAGGTGCCAGCTTGCCCTCTGCCCCACGGAGCCACGTTTTTAAGGCCAGCTGTGGGAGCTGTGTGTGTGCATGGGGGGAGGCCCCCACAAGCCCCCTGTGGCTAAAGCCCTTCCCGAAGGAGAGATCTCCTGGGATCTATACATAAGCCAAGCTGGATCTATGGCAGGACAAAGCAAAACAGAGTTCTACATGAACAGAGAGATAAACATACCACCACCGTGAGGCATTGAAAAACTGTTTCTGCTGAAAAAGAAGTTGTGTCAGCCCAATAAGGGACAACTCGGACACTGGATTCAGCTACTCCAATGCAATTTACTTCCAGTTAGGCGAGTAAAGAGTTTCAACCTCACGCTTTTGGATGTCCCCCCAACCCAGCCAGGTACAGCTGTCCACACACGCAACATTGCAACATAAGGGCGCTCAGAAGGGAGGCACTAAGCCAACACTTTTCCCATCGAGAGTGTCTTAGTAAAAGCTAGTCCTGAGCTGCAACAAAGTCAGCTCCCCTTGATCGTATCTCCTCAGCTTTTCTCTCTGGCCATCCTTCAGGTGACATTGCCTTTCAGTTGGCCTCCCCGGTCTCCCTAGGTGACACAAGCAAAGGTGCACCGTGTGAGGGGTTCTGCGGGGAGGTTCCCATCAGCCAGGAAGCACATATGAAAGCCAGAGTTTAAAAACTGCATTGGGAATATGGCAATTATCTCCTCTCACCACATTTCTCAGCCCTGACTGAGGTTTAATTAAAACCAAGTTAAAACACACACACCCACACTCACACACACAGTGACACTATTTGAGATATCACCCTAATGCATGCAGGGGTTTTTTTAAGGAAAGAAAACATAAAGCTTTTATCACAGAGTTTTTAATTTACTGAAAGAACCTTCCAGCTCAGTTGGATATTATTCGCTCATAATATTTCCTTTAAAGAAATATATATATATATATATATATATATTAGCTAATCCCCCATAATCTCCTTGAGTTGCACCTAAAACACAGTTTCTTGCAAGTGACCTTTTCCAGAAAGGCTGTTTCTATGGCAACGGCATTGTTCGATTCAGGCAGGAGAAAAATACTGCATGGGGGGGAAATACTTAATTTTGCTGCATTTGATGACACATTTAATGCTGACAACATGCCAGTGAGGGCAAAACCTTCCCTCATCAATGTCTTTTAGAGCCCCCTTTGAAGATGAGACCAGTGACCCGACGTGGAGAATGTTGCTCTCCATCCAAATTTACAGGGGTGGGTAGTTAACAAAAGGATCATTATTACCACCATACCAACCAACCTCTAGCATCAGACAGGCCATAAAAAACTCAAATTGCAAAGACTGAAGTAAGGTGATAACTTTTGGTCCAACTGCCACAGATCTCTGGGGACAATATCAGGGGATGTATAAATGCCCTGGGTTTTCCAGTATGATCCTAGCCAAAGTCAACCACAATTCAGTATAGTTTCCCAGTACTCCAGGCATATTTATTTATTTTTCCCACTCCGTATGTACGTTTTGAATCACAATTTTCTTATGCAGTGGCTTAAGGCTCTTTGGGGTCCATTTGCTAATGCTCTGGTATTAATAACTGACAGGGGTACAAAGTAATAATAGAAGAGGCCTACGGAGACATAATATCTTTCTACTGCTGTCATTATCAATATTCTTTCCTATGTGTAAAACAATAGCTCTACACAGCAGAACATCTATAGTTTCCTCTGCGGATAGAAAGGGAACTCTGCACACCACCTGGAGCTTTTCAAAAGAAAGGCAAATTGCAATACACATGATGATGATGTAAGAAATTCATGGTGCCACCAGTACCAACATCTTCACTGTCACAAACTGATTCTTTCTTCATGTCTCTACAAGTTCACTGAAAGAAAGACTGGGCCAAAGAATTATACTATTCTTATAATGCATAATTAACAGTACAACTTTATAATAACATTATTTTGATATGTCAAAGAAATAAGGCACTAGAATCCTTTGGGGTTCATTTGCTAATGCGCTGTTCTTACATTTTTCTTAATAATGGACACGGAAACAAAGTAAATGAAAAGAAAAAGAATTTTTCTACTGCTCAGTGTCAATATTCCACTTTGTACTTAAAAATAGCACTACACAGCAGAACATCTACAGATTCCTCTGGCTTCACTAGGGAATTTTGACCCTCTGTAACTTTTTTTCAGTGCTGAATTTTCACTTCCGCCTGCTCATTTTGTCCTCTTGTTATGTCTTTTACTTTCACTTCTTCTCATTTCCTTCATATGCCACTTGTGGTCTTGCCCCCCACTCTTTCTACCATTTAATTATCATTTGTATGATCCTTCAGCTTCTGAATCAGATGCGATTGCATTCTGCTATTTATGCAAAATAAGCCAGGTTAATTTGTATCCCAAAAAGATGAGAAACACTAAAAGAAAATGCACCCTGCTCTGCAACTTGCATTGCATTTGTTCTGAACTTTGTTCTGAACAAAGCCAAAACAAAGATCACATGATTCTAGCTGAGAAGCTATGCCATGGAGCAGGTTTGGAGGATGCACTGGCTTCCCCACACCTCAATCAGGTTGGAATGATTACATCTGTGAACTCTGAGCAAACAACCTGGAGTGTTCTGATATCTATGCAATCAGCAGAAGAACTGGAGATGAACACAAAAGCATAATTTGGGGAAGATAACCAACCCCAGGGCAATGTGCCATTTATCCGCTTATCTGAGGGGAAAAGGCATGTCCATGCAGGAAAGGGGGATATGCCCATGCTACGCTGAGTCTCAGGCTGCTGGACTTCATGGCATTGCTTTGCATTTTCTCAACTGGAAATCAAAGGCAGCACTATGGCAACTGCACACACACAGTCTGGTAGCAAGCGCAAAGCACGGCCGTATCTGAAGCAAATGTGATACGCACTTGGCCACTTTACAGCCCCTCCAGTTTCCTCCAGTGAAGCAAGGCGCTGGGAATCTCCACACATGCATCAGAACGAAATGGCAGGAAATTGCGTGCACAAACTTCACTAGAAAATGCAGGTGAGGGGACACCCTTGTGAGCTCTCTCTCCTCGGCTTATAAAGGAAATTCCTTGCAAAGAGAGGACACTACTATTTAAATTCTGTTGCAGGAAAGCAGCTACACCAACTGGAGAAAGTAAAAGCATCACTGATTCCAGGCAGAGCAAGGCTAACCACATCATAGCCACAGCAACTTAGCATGTTGTGACTAACTGCCTGCGCATGGTTTCCTTTGGCCACAAGGGTAAGCCAAGAATTACCCTATTGCTACAGCCACTCAGAAATTGGAGGAAGTGGGAGCAGCTCAGCTTACCAAATGGCAACATTTACTGTGCACCCAGATGTGG